AGTCACAGATGGGTGTCCAGGACAAAAATTAAAGTGGTGAATTCCGATTGGCTACTTGTGGCACAATGGTATATAGATGTCTATTTAGCACTGTGCTAGGCAAGAGCTATGAACACCCATTTTCAAAAGGAAAAAATAATCATAAATTAAATATTTTTGTGCTCACCATTAAAAAAAAAAAAACCTTTAATTGGACACAGGCAAAGAAGTACCAGGAGCATGATCATAAACACAGGTGTGGGACCTCAATAGTCGCCAAGAAAAGGATTTTAAAAGGTAAGCGACCGTTGCTGTGCGGCCTCGTGGACACTGACGGCTCAGAGGCGACTGTGCTCCTTTGCGGATTCTTTTGAGACCTTTCAGTTTTGGATGGTTGTCCACTTGTCACCTTTTCCCCACTACCTCCTTTTCGTTGGGGGGGTCCCTTATGTCCTTGGGCACTTGCTCTGCTGGCTTGGCCAGGCACGCACGGTTTGCTGCTCTCTGGGAACAATCTCCTTTATCTCCTGAGGAAGCGCTTGGAGCACGAAATGCATTGAGAAAAATACTATTCCTGATATAAGAAGAGGCATCTATGTGCTATCTGAGTACAAGAGTATGTTACATCAAATTTGTGTGTTACAGTCATTTAGCCTCAGATTATAATTCTGGAATTGTCCATTGAGGATCAGTTTGCTCTTTCCTTCTTTGAAATGCGTACATATCAATTATGTCTTTAACATTTTTTAACCTTTGTATAATAAAGAAACCTTGTTTTATCATGTTGTAATTGCTTGGTTGTTGTCACTTGGTACCCTAAAAGCCCCATTCTTTTCCTTTCTGATGTTGATTATAAAAGGTAAGTACTTCTATTTTCTTTCTTGTTCACTAGGGGTACAAGTAGTCAGTCATTCACCTGTGGGACTTCCACAAGCAGTCCAACAGAGTACTCCCAGATCTAGTAGTGTGTGCCTTGACAGGAGAGGGGGGGAACCAGATTTTTGAGAACATGGAACAGACCAGATGATGGTCTGTCTGAGCCAGTGGACAATGGTGGAACAAGAAACATGTGTACCCTCATGAGGACCATCAGTGATGACAAAAAGGGCAACTCTTTCTAAAAGAAGCAGTGGCCAAGAGAGACTAACTCCCCCGAACCACATCCAGACAATAGAGGAAAATTTCCTTTTGGTGAACTGATACCAGAAGGACAGAAGACCAATATCCTGGTTGAGATGAAAGGCAGAAACTACCTTAGGCAAGAAAGAAGTCCTAGACTTCAACACCATTTTGTCCCTAAGCAAAACCAGAAAGGGGTATTTGCAAAATAAGGCAACCAGTTCAGATACTTATCTTGCAGAGCTGAGGGCTATAAGCAATACAACCTTGAGTGAGAATAGGGAGAGTAGTGTCTGTAATGAGTTAAAAATGGTGGTTTCTGCAGCACAAAGAGAACCAGATTCATATCCCCTGACGTGACTGGGTAACAAACAAGGGGTAGCTACACAGGAAACTTCCTGTACAAAAAGGTCTTAATCAAGCACAGAAAGAACATTGGTCTCTAAAACAAGACAGAAACCTGGACTTTGGTAGTATTGGGAGCTGAACTCTAATCCAGATCCACCTGAAGCCCTGAATCTCACACTGAGTAGACTAGCCTTGCTTTTAACATTGTAGGAATTACCCGCTCAGATATGCCCCGTCTCTCAGAACCTGGGCTTTAACAGTAATGCTGTTAAAACAAGTGACCATGAAGCAGGATGGTAAATTGATACTTCAGACAGAAAATCCAGACAATCCGGTAGAGCCCATGGAGTTTCTGGCAGGACTACCAGGTCCGAGTACCACATCCACCTGAGCCAGTCAAGAGCAATGAGGATCACTGGAATGCCCTTTATCTCACTTCTGCTAATAAGACAAGGAAGAAGTTTCAGGGGAGAGAAGGCATAGACAGGGTGCCCAAGGACTCCTTCCCAGCACATCGGCCTGACATACATCGTGAGGATCTTCTGAAAGGTGGGAAGAAAAGAACATCCTTGAGCTACCATGACAGGGACAACTTGGTTTTTCAGTGCCAAATAAACTAGTCTGTCCAGGGACTGGACTGACTTGTCTCACAACAACAGAATGCTGGAGTGAAAGTATGCAAACGGGACTGCCCTGAAGGAGGCTAGTGAGCGATCGTCTGATCACTCCAGTGTTTGTAAATAACTAGGGACACATAGTACTATGTGTTGGGCGCCGCCATCTTGGTGTATATCTAGGTATACACCAAGATGGTGGTGCCAATATCGGCGTGTGGCGTCATGTAATGGCATGCTCCCCGCCTCCAAGATGGTGGCACGCATTCACAGAACACGCCGGTGGCCAACATTTGATAAGAATACTTATATTGTGCCGACAAGTTTAATACCTTTGAATAAAAGATTTTTATCATACTTTTTAATATGTTTATTTGCGCCTTAACAAAATTAAATGGTGCGGATATTGGGGAAAATGGGTGTGGTTACGGGGTGTGTGGCCACTGAGGGGCGCTGTAAAGCTTTCTCGCACAGGGCGCCTAAAGGCCTAAGGCCGGCCCTGCTAACAGCAGAACCCAGACTCTTATGCAAAAGCAGAGAGGCGGTCAATTCCTGGACTGGAGGGCTAGAATCTGAGATCTGAAAGTCTGTAGTTTCCCTTGTGGAAGAAATACTCTGGCCTACGCTGTGTCCAGGACTAGACTCGGATACTCCAAAAGAGTCTGTTCCAGCAACAATATCTGAAGGTTCAGGATCCATCCAAACCATTATAATATCTGCACAGTGAAGGCCAGATTGTCTGACAGGCAATTGTAATCTCAACAGGTCATCCAAGTATCCCACAATGGGATGCCATGAGAGTGCAGCAAGACTAGCACTGGGGCCTGCACCTTGGTGAATACCAAAAGGTGCAGATGAGAGACCGAAGGGCAGGGCCATGAACTGATAGAGGCACAAAAAGAAATAGGAGGGGATACCAGACCTAGAGGATTCCATGCGGAATTTCTGAGCGCTTATGAAGACATTCACTGCTTTGAGATCCAAGATGGGGAAAATGCCTCCTAAGGGGTTGGGAACCTAAGAGGTTTCAAAGAAGATCTGGTAATCTGCATGGTGACACAAAGACTGGAAGTGAAAAACTGAGGGGCCAAGGAGTAAAACGCCAGCTTGTAGCCCTTGGAAACAACCTCCCACAACCATCTGAGATGCAAGCCGTTTGTGTGTCTTCAAAAGTAAACAAATTTTCCCCAATGTTTTATACGCGGGTTCTACAGTCCAACACTTTGTGCTCCACATGTGTACGGACAGGACACCAATGCAGGAGGTGAGATGGGAAACCTCTAGCAGCCCGTCACAACTGTAGCTTAATGTAACAACCAGTTGTTCCAAACATTCTGGGACAAGGGATCAACCGCAGTATTGGCAAGATCCCTTTTAAGGCATTTTGACCAATGAGCCTGGGTTTGGCAAAACAAAGTCACAGCTAAGATGGAATGAAGAGCAGAGACTGCTAGCAAACACAAAGTTCTAGAGAGACCTTCCAACAGTTTATCAGTTGGGTCCTTAAATACAGGAGCATCCTCTACAGCTATGGTGGTTGCTTTGTCAGGGTGAATTTCCACTTTTGCAGTTAAAGGGGAACCCCCCCCCCCTCCCCCACTATATGTTTGTGTCCCTATTCACATAGTATTACTAAAAAGAATTTGAAAAAATAGATTTACCTTTTAGATATCTCTATGTAGCAGGCCTTTGCATGCTTCTCTCTCAATTTCACTAACCGCAAACTCTGACTGTTCTAATAGAAAGACTAAAGACAGACTGAGCTTCCCTCATTAAACTACAAGGTCTTCAGGGCTTTAACCCTGTTAGGACAGACATCCCTGCTCATCCTGTTTACAAGTGATAATGAAATCTGCCAGTAGAGTACAGATGGGATTATTTGAAACAAAACTTCCCTCAACACCCCCCAGACAGTGAGAAGTAAGCAGGATTTCTAAATCCTGGAGTTAGCACAATGAAATCTAAAAAAAGGTGAACTGCAATTTTTTTTTAAAGGTTATGCCTTGTGAATGGGAACATGTAACAAATATAAAATAGGAGGTACCCCATTCTGGCTGCAAAAGTGGAAATAAAGTTTAAGGTGTGACACTGCCAGATCCACAGTGAGGAAGACTACTTTTTAAACAAAGTCCTCTTCAAAACGATACAAGGCTAGTACGTGCTTGGGAAAAGCAAACATCTCAACAGGGCGTTTCCACTCTTTGTAAAGGAAGACTTGGAACAGCAAGTATACCCAAGATGGTCTTTGCGGTCTCAGGGGTTCTAAAGGCCCCAAGACTGGGAATACCACTGGTAAAAGCATTAGGATGATCCTCTAGGCTCAGGTGGTGCACATTGCATCAGTAAGAGCCTAAACTGTTTCTTAATGTGGAAGTGATGGCAAAAGACAGCGGCAACTCAGAGGCAAGCTGATCCAGGGGTAAGGACTGGAGTGATATAGAAAGCAGACAGTCTTAACAGCAGATGGTTTAGAGCAGGGGTCTCAAAGAGCCGGTACTCTGTGGCCCGCAGCCAGCTGACAAGTCGGGCACACGATCACGGGCTGCGTGCCCGACTTGCGGGAGCAGCCACACGGTCTGCATCTCTGTCGGATGCAGACTGCAGAGCTGCTCCTGTCAGCTCAGGGCAGAGCTCTTTCAGATCTGGCCGAATGATGGATGATTAGTAAGGTCTGCACTAGACCTTACTAATCACCACTAGATCACCAGGGAATGATGATGTGCCTCCTCCATGCACAGATGCAAGCAGGTGAGGGGGCTTGGAAGGAAAGGAGGGAGGAGGGGAGTGTATTATATGTGTGCTGGGGGCTTGAGAGGGAGGGGGGAAGTTTAATATGTGCTCTGGGGGCTTGAGAGGGAGGGGGGAAGTTTATGTGTTCATTTTATTAAAACATATAAGAGAATTACCATAAAATTCTGTGAAAAAGTGACTATACCCAAATACAATGTACAACACTTTATTAAAGCGTTGGCAAAAGGTTGCTTGAGCTGGTGAAGATCGTGCAGCATAATTGTTGGAAATACACCTTTACAGTTTTTTTCCCCTCCCCTTCTTTTCAAATCTCCAACATGCACAAATACCCAAAAAAGCCATTTAAAAAAAAAAAAACAACAAAACAAAAACGCAAAAAGAACAAAAAAAACACAGACATATAAGAACATACATGTGCTCTGTGTTATTTGCAATATATTTACAGTCTGAAGAGGAAAGAAAAAAAAGATATGCTAAATAAACTAAGGGGAACAGAACAACATTTATTCACCATTCAAGAGAAATAAGGGTGTGCAACTCCACGCGCAATGTTTATACACACACAGTTTATACAGTCTGTTGTATTTCTGGTTTTCTTCACACGTCCTGTGGCATATGAAGCCAGCTGTGCATATAACACACTTCGGGGTGATTTGTCTTTCTGCTGCTATCTGAAACGGGAGATCCATGTATCCTACTTCATTTACTGCAGAAAAAAATGCCAATACAACCTGACTGAACCTGAAGAAGGCTAAAGCTCTGCAACAATGTTTTACCTGCTATTATAACTTATTTCTAAATGCAAACTAAAGAAAAATTTACTGTAAACAAAGCTTTTTTTAAATTTTATTACTTTTTCCCACATTTTGAAAAAGGTTTTCCACTTTATTGCCTCTGTGAGTTGGGTCAGCTGCCACTGAAGAGTTTGTCTTCTACCCGCCAGAGGAAATAATGTAAGTTTGTGTTCAACTCTCCCACCATGCAAATCTTAACGTTTGCAATTTGTCTTTACTAAAACGAAACTCTTCCTATTAATAACTGAACTGCTTGCTATGTAAAGTCTTCCATCTCGCTGCTGCTCTTCCAGCGTAAGGCCACTGTGATGCCTTGTCAACAAGTAGTGCTCACTCTGAGTGTGTGTCTGTTGAGAAGAAGCTTCCAGCCTGGACACATCAGGCTGCTGTTTCTACACCTCCTGGCTCCCAGCACTGTCCTGAACTCTTTTCTGAACATGCTGCGATGTGCTGCTGATCTCACGCAATCTGTAGGACTCCACTTGCCATGTTGTCAGGTATAGGGCCCAATGGAATGGCGCTAGTCACCAAATCAACGTCTTCTGTTAAGGAAAGAATATAAATCGTTACATTCTTAAATAGTTAAAATCACACCTGAAAGTCAACCGATGACATTTTAGCAAGCATATACACTATGCATGGTGGGCACTCAATCGAAATCAAACACACAAACACACTGCATGTGGCATACTCTGCTCCCTTTGAAAAGGAAGGAATAGTATTACTTAATGCATATAAACCTTAGCTAACTGACCACTGGGGCATCCATATTCCACATATACACAGGAGTGCTTACCTACTATGTTTTGGTAGAGACGGCAAGGAAGGCTGCTGCTCTAGGTAAGCAGCCCAGTTTGAATTTAGTGTATTTAGGGGCTAGGAGGGTTTGTGAAATATAACCTTGTCCTTTAATTACCCTGTCATCACAGAGACATCTGTGCACAGTCCTTGTAAAAGAAAAGGAAATATAAAAAAAAAGGACCTTTCCTCAAGCCCGTGGTTGCTCTCGTCGGCTGTTATGTCATTACAGGATATATAAGCCGGCAGGAGAAACCACAGTGTACAATGAGGGGAGCAGGTATTCAACCCACCCGGAAAGGTTTCATATTCTAAGTGCCCAGGGAGAAGCAAAAACAGTAGCTTTCCAACACGCAGGCCACCAAAAAGGTAAGTATATTGCCTTAGGTTTCCCATTCTGTACAAATGACCCAGTGGTGCCAAGGTCACCTAAATTTCCCTTGGCTGTTCCCATCCACTCACGCCTCTTCTCTCTAAGCAACCAATAAGGGCCGCTGGTTTACAGAGCTGCAGTGCAAAAGCAGAAAGGGAAGACATCAAGCAGAGACATGGATGGAGCTTGCATTAGCTGAACGGTATTTCAGAAGATAGCAGATGGAAAAAAGACAAATCCAAGCTGCTGAACAGCATCAGACAAATGTGAGCTCATTCATCTAGTTCACTCACCTGCCACCAGTCTTGAAGATAAGATCTGCATTTGGTGCCCCTTTTGGATGCTGGTACCGGGGCCGACGCTCCCTGTTAGTATTAGCTGGAGCTGGACGCTGAGCCAAAGATTGCAGCATTTCTGCAAGAAAAACCCCCCCAAAAAAACAACATTGGTTTTTATATCTGTTCACTTGTTTTACAAGCTTAAGCAATGTTTGCATTGTGATAACAGCAACTCTGAAGCTTTATGGAATTATGACAAACCTACATGTATTTAAATATAATCCATATGTATTACCAAAAAACAACCTACTGATTTTAAAGTTACATGAACACTTTTACATATTTTTCTTTTTTTTTTAAATATTTCTTTTCAATTTCCTGGCTAGATCCTAAACATAGCTGTACCTACATTTTTCTTGCATGTAATGGGTTAAAATGAGAGATGTAAATCATTTGGAATCCTGTGTGTGTCCAGTTACAATGGGGTCACATCATTTATTGCCACAACTATTTGGAAGGAACCTCCCTAACATATAGGTAAATAGCTAGTGGTGGCTCTGAACAATGAAACTTTTGTGTATATTGTGCAGATAATAGTTTCTTATTCTTCTTATGTGGTTATGTGTTGCTAAACGGCTCTACTTAATAACCAGAGAACTAAAACAGAGTTTTGGCACACATACATGGAGGATTAGGTGAATTACCCCATATACCTTGTAAAACATCTGTGAAACAGTCTGTTAGAACACGGACCTGGTTTACTGGTTATTAAGTAGAATCCGCGTTACAGCTCACATCTCCAGGAACAAGGTACAGCAACAATTATTAAAAGGATATAGATATGTACATTAATGAAGGAAGTTTTTTGTTTGTCCACATACCACCTGAAAATTAACTCCTTTTCTTTTTTACAGATTGCACTCAACGGAGATCTCTGAACACTCAGAAAACCATTTTCTAATATAACAATTATACTTCATTAGTAAACTGTATTCAGAGAGAGTACACAAAGAGAATGTACTTTCAGGTTTCATGCTGTCCTCGCTGCTTGTTACCTCAGGTCCCACAAGTTGCCGTCTTCCCCTCTGCTTATGAGGCAGAGGAGCTGGTTTAGCCGTCCTCCCTTCTGCTCGTGAGGCAGAGGAGCTTGTGTCACGGATCAGGGCTCACTGGTATAACTAGAAAACAGGTCTGTGGACCCCATCTACTACACTGGCAGGGACACTTCGAGAAAAGGGTGCAAGCAGTGTAGGCTGACAACTCCCAGAGCTGGAGTACAAGCAGGGAGCAGAGCAGGGGGGATGAATGAGGCAGTAGAAGACAGAATAGGCAGGTAGGACAAGTTATAGGGCAGGGTGCTGCAAGGCTAGGTAGGTGGCATGGGGTCCCCCAGGATGAGGATTCTAAGGGCCAGCCGGTGATCACCAGAGCTTCCGATGGTGGAGATGGGCTTGGCTGCGTGGTGACCGCAGGTCACAATCCCTAGGTTCACCCGACTCACCTAACAGCCAAGAATTGTTGACAAGGCCAGAGTGCAACTTGCAGACACACAAACAAGGGACAAAACAAAGGTCAGGGACAGACGGAGGACCAGGACTTCCAGGGACAAACTGAAGACTGGGATTTCCAGGGAATATCCAAAGGACAGGAACAGACAGAAGACAGGGATTTCCAGGGACAAGTCAGCAGTCAGGACATGGATAAACTTCAAGGCAATCAGGTTCAATCACAAACGGGGCTCAGCATCTAGCTTAGGAAAGCGTTGCTCGGGCCACGTGCCGTTCGCTGCCCTGGGTTTAAATAGAGACAGGAAGAGGGAGGATTCACAGGATTGGCCACAAGTGGACTGCACTGATTGGCTGAGAAGCTGCATAAGAAACAGCAGGGGAGGTCGGCCGACGCCTAAGGGTTAGTTCACATCAGAAACTGCATCACAACTGCGTGCGTCTGCGCAGTTGCATTGCGATCAGTTTTGATGCGTTTTGGCGCGTTTGTGATGCGTTTTTTCCCTGCATGTCCCTGGATGATGCCACAATCAATTCTGGTTTTTTGTATGCAGTCTGCTGTGTTTTACAGCGTTTTTATGCATTTAGTGCAGTTAGATGCAGGTAAAATAGGACAAGCAGTACTTTTTCTGACTGCAGTTGAACGGACTGCAATGGTGTGAATTAGGCACAAGAAAGCCCATAGGAAAGCATTGTGATGTATTTTAACTGCAGCAGCCCTAAAGCTGCCAGACTAATGCAAGAGTAAGTCAAGTTCCGAGCACATGTCTGGAGGACTACAAGCACCAGCAACACCCTGCATGCCTAAAGAACCAGGGGTAAGAGGTATGTATATACTTGTAGAACTACAAGCAACAGCTCAGCTGCAAGTCTGCAGCTAAACTGTGACAGCTGGTTTAGCCGTCCTCCCTCCTGCTCGTGAGGCAGAGGAGCTGGTTTAGCCGTCCTCCTTGCTGCTCGTGAGGCAGAGGAGCTGGTTTAGCCGTCCTCCCTGCTGCTTGTGAGGCAGAGGAGCTGGTTTAGCCGTCCTCCCTCCTGCTCGTGAGGCAGAGGAGCTGGTTAGCCATCTTCCCTGCTGCTTGAGAGGCATTGGAACTGTTTTAGTTGCCTTCCCTTCTGCTCGTGAGGCTGCAGAACAGATTTGCGGTCTTCACTGCTGCTCGTGTGGCAGAAGAACTGGCTAGTAACCTTCCTATCTGATCGGGAGGAACTGATTAGCAGTCTTCCGTTCCTTAAGCAACAAATTAGGACATCAATTTCACACAGCAGTCCAATGAAAAAAGGGCAGAAAGCATGTGGATGGATTCAGATGGAGCCAGCATTGCCTGAGAGATACGCATTTATTGCGGTCATTTTTATTTTGTTTTATGTTTAACAGGGGCTTGCCCATAGAGCAGCGGTGGTCAATATTAAACACTACTTTTTCTCCACATAGTGTGTTTTTTAATATCTCAAAACCATAAAAAAATATTTCTATTATAATATTGCTATATGAAAAGGTAGCTTGGCTCCTTGCTACAAAAGGAATCCAAGCTACACCACATTGTAATGTGGCGCAGACCTCTACTAAATTGGTCTAAGATGGCACCTTCTGTAAGGGCTGTGCTAAATATTAAAATCGGGGAGGAATGCAGTTTATATGAAAAAAATAAAAAAATAAAATGAAATCCACACAGCCAATCAATTTAAGTTTGAAGTGACCATTCCTGGACAATCATTGTCCTGGATACTGCTAGCTTTACTTAGTATGTGTTGGATGCAAGTAGTATATAGTAATAGTTACAGATCTTAATATCTTGAAGGGAACAATAGAGCCAAGACTTTTGAAAGCTGAATAACAAAAGGGATAACAATAAAATACAAGTCTGTGTGTATTAACATTAGCGGAGCACAACAAGGAACTTAACAATGGACAGCAATGATCATTACCCTGATAGTCCTCCTGTTCTTGACGCTCATTAATGTCCAATGTGAGCTTTTTCATCCGCATCCTTTCCTCCTGCTCTACTTGCTGTTGGTTCCAATGATTTGCAGCCAGTGTGGAAGACATTGGTACCTTCAGAATTTTAAACTGGAAAACAAATTAGGAAAATTAGAATATTGTACAGTAGACATAAAAACACCTAGTGAAGGAACTGCTCAGTAGAGGACCTTTGAAGTGAAGGGAGTCATGCACATTAGAAATGTAATCTCCGTCTTCTTTCAAGGGCGGTGCCTGGACCATGACAGTTTATTTGCAGTTAAACCTAAAAGCCTTTACCTCACCTTCTTGATCCAATAGTTTGGTCCACAAGGACTAGAATATGGCTTTTTAGCGGTACAGGGTGCTTGGACATGGAAACGCCACCCTGAGAGGTCTGCATTTACTTCACAAATCTGACCAGCAGGTCAAGATGGGTGTGAAAAAGGCATTTGGTTACTGCAAATATTAATATAATCTACAACCCACTTTTTTCAAGAACAGTGGTGGCGAACCTTGGCACCCCAGCGGTTTTGGAACTACAAGTCCCATGAGGCATTGCAAGGCTCTGACAGCCACAGACATAACTCCCAGAGGCAGATGCATGTTGGGATTTGTAGTTTTGGCACAGCTGGAGTGCCAAGGTTCGCCATCACTGTTCTAGAACTTTGCTGTGAAGAATTCTGGCATTTAAACATAATATTAACATAGCTTGAGGATAAGATGCAGGCTAAAACTAAACACAAGATAAAAAGAGCTCCAAGCTATGAAAAAAAAAACCTGCCAATACCTACCAAAATTACCCCTCCCCCCCAGCCACATGGCAAGAGTTACATGATCATAAGTCTAGGAGTTCAGGAAGAAGGTGTAATATTTACATTATTTCTCACCATCACCCCTCTACCCCTAGACTTAACAAGTCCTTGTAGTAGGGGGGAGAAGGGTAGTTTGTGTGAAACTTCCAGAGTTCAGCTTTATACTTGGAGAGAGAACACTCAGACTAGTGTCACTTCACATGTAATCCTTTTTATGCACTGCTCTTGGTTCTATTTTATGAATGCAGTTCAGTAGGTGACTGGGTGCAATGGATAATCCTGGATGTGAAGAGGCTTTATTTGACAGGACAGCTCCAGCAACAACATTTAAATATTGCATTAGCTTATCCTGAGAGTTTCCTGCATTTAATCAGAGAAATAAAATCCGCACTGGCAGTTGTAAAACAACAATTATCAGTGCACTAAGGTATACGTTTTCAGAGCAATCCTCAGTCATCGGGACTGGTACACTTGGGCACTGTTTAAGCTTTTAAGCTTCTAAATGCTCGTTTGAAGAACATCATTCATCCAGCATTTCCATATCATTTAACAAGCTTTAACCAGATTTGCAAAGTCCAGAAAGTGGTTTTATACATGTATTTACTATGGTCAGGGCGAAAACCCCCCAAATTTTTTTTAATACAGCTTAATATGAAATATTACATCTATTGATGCACCGATATATCGGCCGCAAATGGCACTTTTGGCTAAATGCTGAAAGTGCCATTTTCCTGTCGATACATCGGCGCATCCCTGCTTTCTTTCCTACCCGCTGGGCGCTGCTCTGTGTCCCAGCGTGGAGGAGAGAAAATGCAACACCCGGCTGAGCGCAGTGAGCGGCCGGCGTCTCTCCTCCCCCACCGCTCAGCCTCCTCTCACAGTCCAACAAGCGGTGTGTGGGCGGAGACAGGCTGCGCTGTCACCGGAGGTGGAGCTCTCCTCCCTACACCGCTTGCCCAGCCTCCTGTGACAGCTGGATCTTTTAAACCTTTTGCTGCTAGAGCCATTTTTGCATGCATGTTAAAAAGCATGTTTTAGGCCTGAAGCTTAGTTAGAACTTAGTTAAAACATTTTATGAAAGCAGAGAACTTCGAGAATAAAATGTGCATGTATTGTGTGACATACAAAATTCAACTGCCAGCAACTGCTTATCAAATCCAAATTTTTTATAAAAAAAATTCATTCAAATCATTTTAGTGCACCCAAACACAATACAACACCCAATTCTTGGTAACATTTAAAAGATGAGGTTGTGCTGAGTAAACAGATACCATACATGTCAAAGCCTTAAAATTGTGCATGCCGGTAAAATAGCAACAAACTCCGGTACCCAAAATTGTACATAAGCTGCACTTTAAAAGCCTTTGCAGGTCATCACATCAGAGTTAATGGCAAATAATAGCCCTAGAGTTACTGCTCGCATCCTGGCGTGTGCAGTGACATGTAACATTTGTGGCACAAATGTTGTTTTCATATGTAGGTACTGGACACATGCGTTTAAGTACATATGTGCATGTACATGGGGTGGGAAAGTTTTAATTTTCAAGACTATTTAACTTTAATGTAATAGCACACTGGAGGGGACAGGTTCTCCGAGTATAGAAGTAGTCGTCACCCTCACACCTAGGTCCAATGCATCAATTTTATTGACATCAGATACACATGGCATCACAAGTACAAAGCAACGTTTCAGAACGTAGCACGGCCCCTTCCTTCATCAGGAAAGAGGCACAGTGACCACACCAGGTTCCGAAAGGTTGCTTTGTACTTGTGATGCCATGTATATCGGACGTCAATAAAAGGACGGATTGATGCATTGGTCCTAGGTGTGAGGGTGACTTCTTCTACATTTGGATTTGTGTGGCGCCATCCGCATGTCATTCAGCACCCTCCATTATATTACCATGGGATTCTGGTCAGGCAGTGCAATGAGACACAAAAAAATTGTAGGTTCTCTTTAAGGAGACATGAGGAGCCCGTTATACCCCCCGGCATCAAGTTTCTACTTCACTAAAGTTGATCAAGCACACACTTTTTGAAAAAATGGAAGCATCTTTCAGCTGTGGTCTGAAGGTTCTAAATAGAGATGTTAAAAAGGAAAGGTCTGATTTTAACAAGATTCAGCTTCAACATACACTTCAGGAAAAAGTACAAGGAGGAAGAATAAAAAGCACCAGAAAGAAACTGCCTAGTTTTAGGTCTGCACAACATATTTGCCGTGTAATGGATGGTAGAACAGAACAAATGCTTTTAGTTACCTGCTGTTTGTTGCCTCTTCTGGTCAGCATTACAAACGGCATTGTGTCTCCGCAGTCTGCCTCTCCCTCCGGACTGACAAAGGCATGTCCTTTCTTCAGCTGGCTCTTCAGATGCAAGGGAATGGCAACATCCAGCTGATGTACTTTCACAGACTCTCCGCTGCGTTGCTAAACAAAACAAATACTTTTTTAAAAAGGACTGAAAAAACAAGGTTGTCCTTGTGGACTGAGAAAAAATTCCTGTAACCAAACATTAAGGGCCCATTCACATTGCGCACTGCATTAACACAAGTACATTAGTGCAACGGGTTATTAAGCGTTTAGACATGCTGCAATAATGCAGAGTATTCATTTGAATGGGCTGGGATCACACCTTAAAACACACAAGAAAAGGGGCATGCACTACAATGGTAAGCAAATTTATTTTCTTCCTTTGAAATGTGAAAGAGTTAGAACATCTGCTGGGTTGTTAGTGGTGTCTGTGTTCCCACTGGGGAGATTCCAGTACACCTCCCGTCCCACAAACATGACAAAAAGTGAGTGGAAATCTTCCCAAAAGGAGGAGAAATCCAACCTTTGACAGTTACTGATGCAGGATGTCCCTATTGGAAGATATTCCTTCGACTTGACCACCATAACATTTTGGATTTTCTCTGACAGTTGTCATTAGTGGCGTAGCCACTGGGGGAGGGGGCAGCCAGTGCGGCTGCTCTGGGACAAGAATTGGAGGGGCCCCGGGCAGTGACAAGCGGGGTCCGGCGAATGAAAGATTTGCGACAGGGTGTGGAATCCACCGACGGCCAGGAGCATGCAGTTCTGGGCGCCGGGCGATAAGTTGCTTTCTACATTGAGTCCTGCTTTGCACATGCACGACTAAATGCAGTGTGGGGAAGCGGATTGTTTGTTTACAAGTAATCTCTGGCGATGTCGCCGAGATCACTTGTAATAAAACTGCAGCCGGTACGTCCTCTCCCCCGCCCCCCACCTACCTCTCTCCCCGCTGGCTCCGTCCTGCACTCCATCCTCCCCCCTGCCGCCGAGTCTCTCTCTTCACCGGCCGCCGATGCAGGGAGCAGAGCGGCAGGGTTAAAAGTAACCCTGCCGCTCCTTGTAAACAGTGAGAGGGGAGAGCAGTCTTCCCCTCTCACCCGTCACAGGAGTTCCAGCACAGTGCTGTGCTAGAACTTCTGTCCTGGAGGTGACAGGTTCAATAAAGAGAGCCTGTCACTTCCAAATGCTATTACACAGGGGCTTGGTAGCTCCTGTGTGATAGCGATAGAGTTAAGTGAAAAAGAAAATGTTCAAAAATAAATAAAAAAAATGTAAAAAGTAAAAACAAAAACACAAAACAATAAAAAGGTGATTAAAAAAGTAAACAAATTTCATGGGCCACTTGCCTATGGCAAATAGTGAGAGTAGTAGGAGTATATCTCCAAAATCTCCAAAAGGGTACACCAACAGCAATACAAACCTGTCAGAGTTCATAATCCTTCAGACTAGGATTAAAGTTTTTGTCCACAATTCTCATTTCGAGCATGTGGATCACACTTGGCTAATACAAAGCGGTATTCACAGGATTCATTGCGACTAATTAAAAGTAAATATAAGGTCACACAGGCCCCCCCCTTAAACAATACCCTAACACTTATCACCCCACTCTCCCACCCATGACCTATCCCTCTTTCCCTCTCCCTCCCCCTAAGCTCCCATCCTAACCTATCACATCACAGTTGTAATGGATGACCCATACTCAGAGCTCCCGAACCCCTCAAAGGTCAGCAACAACATCCCGCTGACGTGTCGCAGCTGGGATGACAGGTCAACAAATACTAGGAGCAAAAGGAAGCACCTATAACGCGACACACATGATCCCACGAATTCTGCCTACTGACTCCAAGAAAAGGCTATAAAGATGGTTCCCGGTTTTGCACCCATTACTGCAACGGCCACAGTCTGCCAACTGTATCCCCTCCCCCCTACTTTCTTCATACCTTCTTCCCCATAAACAGGATTGAAGATTGAATACTTACACTTATGGTTATTTTGGTACCTGTTGTAATCCCAGATATGGGCTCACAGTATTGCTGTGTTTGTTAGTTTGTTTGTATGTATGTATGTATACATACCTTTGTACCCTTTATAAAACTCAATAAAACTTATTTGAAACAAAAAAAAAGTAAATATAAGAATTTAAAACACAGTCCAAAACAGGATGTGTGTGTGGTGCTGGATTAAAAAAAAAAAAAACACCACCTCAAAACATCTGCAAAAGTTCCAGTACATTGCTGACGAAGGAAGAAAATACCCCGAGATGAAAGCACACATTTGCCGTTCTTCAGGCTGCACTGCTTGATAGGACTTAGATCACTTAGCATTTGATAACTGGACTGACTACAGAATAATATTTGGCAGAAAGTCACATACTTGAAGGTTTTCCAGCATCATCTTATCTAGAGCCTGAATGAAGTCTTCATCTTCTGCACAGGGAACATGCTTGATCCCACCTCCTTTCATCGTCACCTCCTGAAAAGAAGAGAGAAGCTTGTGTATAAAAAACAGTTCAGCTTAGCCCAGGCCAATATGAAAGGCACAAACTAATGCAGCCCAGTATTATTAAATCATTAATTGTTATGACGCCGGAACATTTTTTCCATGCCAAAATGTCATTTGGACTTTCTGCTCCCAGAACTATTTAATGAACGCATAACACCTGTAGATTGAAATGATGGTAGTCACATTTTTTTTATATTTACGCAAATGTTTACAAGATCTATATCCTCAGTAAAAAAAAAAAAAAAATACACCAAAATTAATTTTGTGCACATAAAAAACACAAAAATGTTTAATGTTAAATATAAAATAGGAGACGGTCGAGTTTAAAAATACTAAATGTGTCAAGCCTCAAATCTACGTGTGCCCACAAAACGGTAAACAACTGCAATACCCAAATTGTTAATAGGCAACACTATAAAATCTTTACAGCTCATCAATTTATAATTCTCTGTAAATGATGGCTCTAAAATGTATTCCTCTACCTTTAACGTGTGAATGGATACCCAATATGTATAGGTGTTTACATAAGCAGTGTGTCCTAGATGCACATAATGCATGTGGAGCCTTTTAAATAAAACATTTTTTTTTATTGTTAAAGCACAATTTACATTTTTTTCTCCCCTAATTTGTTTTACTATGGAAAAAAAAAAGGTTACTTACAGTGTTTTCTTCATCAGTTTCATTTTCCTTGTTTGAGTCAGTCATGTAATCGGTGTTTTCCTCCTCTTCTTCCTCTCTTTCATCTTCTTCATTTTCAGAAGCATCCTAAAAAAAAAAGAAAATGTATAATAATAAATAATTGGTGGATTTGCAGTCTATATCCTCTGCTGAAACTTGGCACAGGCTGACTCATTACAGTATGTATAACATAGCTACAAATGGTAACTACATAAAATATTGCCCCTTTAGTGTACAATGTAGGTAATGAAACCCTCAAAGTTCCAGAGAACGTGGATGCTTGAACCTCTGTTAAATCTATAGCTTGGGAGCAGCAGAAGATGCATGCCAATTATAATGCAGCAAATATTAACAGGGACTTGTCCCCTACACTACATCTAATGTCTCAAAGACACACCACACAACTAAATGTTAGGGTCTGTGCCTAAGGCCTTGTTGGTCATGAGACATGGCCACAATCAATTTGCCTTTTAGTACAAGCAGGCATTGTTGATGGCACAGCAGCAATAAGGGAATCTGAGCTACTTTTAGTTTCCGGTCATTTAGCATAGTTATCAAAAGGAATTTGGCATACGTTTATCTCTGATGCCGATGATTTAATCCTCTGGCTGACACTGTACAATCAACTCCTCAGCATAAGTCCTACGACCAGCCACTGGATGGAGTCCAGAATCTTTTTACTTCAGCAGCAGATTCTCTTCATCTCAGCACTAGCTAGATTTTTATTATAAGATTGTTGCTGAACTTTAGACAGCTCAGTGATTATAATACAGCATAGACCGACTTAATGTCAACAGTCATACTTTTATGTGCTTAGTAGAGGTATGTGTTTTCTAGTTGAAAAATGTAAACATTCCTAAAGACCTACCACATGAACGGGATTCTTAAAAGTGTTAAGCACCTCTTATAACAACACAACACTAAATCAGGAACACAGACAACAAATAGGTGTTATTTTAAAACATAAAACTGAAAAAGTCCCATGATTTCTAAAGCGGCAAGCCAGGATTTACATAGACATCAGTAATGTTTCCAACTCCATTACTCTATCTTGCTTCCCTACTCAAGAACAAGGGATACTAAATGAAGACGTACGTGTAAATTGTTTTTTTTTGTTCAACCCGCGGGCTAAAAGGGGAAAAAAAGAAAACAGATTCCTCTGTGCACGCTAAACAGCGTGGATGGATGAATCTCCCGCTGTGAGCTATGTATTCCAACATTGGCGCCGGCCACTGTCAGAATGCCCTAACGGTGCCCTGGCTGGCTGCAAACACCGTTTGGCTGAAGATTTTCCAACATGCTCCTTCAATCTTCTGATCAAGGCATGCCAGGGGGAAGGGTGCCAACAGAGGCACCCACTGTTTGAATTTTGTCCAGTTCAACAAGAACCGCCCGAAATTTGCATAGTGTTTGGCCAGCTTAAAGGTAACCCTGCGCACAAGGAACTTATAGTTTACAGTGGGAATAGTCAGGCCAGGGGAAGAGCTTTTCCTCATTCAACATGTATTTTTTGGTTCTTTGCAGGTTGGCCAATCTCTTCATAATCAGTAAGTTAAGGGTGTTGGCTTATCTTTGTACAAAAAGCAAAGAACAACCAGGAAAAAAACCACACAAAAAAAAAAACAGTTGACGTTCTGCAGCCTGAAAGTGATTCCTGCACACTTTCATAGCTCCACCCATTTATACATGACTGTTCCAGAATTTTCTATATTATACAACCATTTGATTACATCTATGAGTGCCTTCCTCACTGGAATACTGAAGAAAGAAAATTGGTTACAATTAGAGGTGCACCGAAATGGAAATTTTAAAACCGAAACAAAAAAATTGTCAGGCCGAAACCAAAAATGTTTGTTTCTTTATTTACATTTTTTCCCATTTTTAAAATATTTTATTTTTAATTTATTTTTTTATAAACTTTTTTTATATTTGTTTAATTCATTTTTATTTTTTACATTACTTCTAGGGGCTTCGGAGAAATATTAGGGGTCTAAACAGACCTCTGATATTTCCCTTTTAAAATAGAAAAAGAGATTGAGGACATGAAGTCCCCAATCTCTTTTTCTGTATCCCCTGTTATCAATGAACAAGAATCCTCTATGAGTGTACCTGTTCATTCATAACATGAGGACAGAGTATGTTTACTATAACTACAACTATGAATGAACAGGAGGTGATGTAGATTTCTCCCCATTCATTATTGAGGATATAGTCAACATGCCATGTCCTCAATTATGTATAAACACTCAGCGATCACTGTTGCTGAGTATTTGCTCTCGCTCTCCTCTCTGACGCGCTGTCACAGGAGGCTGATCGAGCGGTGAAGGGAGGAGAGCTCGGCCTCCTGTGACAGTGTGGCTGTCTCCGCCCCAACACCGCTCTGCCGGACTGTGATAGGAGGGTGAGCGGTGTGGGAGGAGACGCCGGCCGCTCACAGCGCTCTCCTCCTGCAGCGCTCGGCCGGCTATCACAGTTTCTCTCCTCCCCGCTGGGACACAGAGCAGCGCCCAGCGGGGAGGAAAGAAACCAGGGTGCGCCGATTTATTGGCAGGAAAATGTTACATCATCCCTAGTTACAATAAAGCGACTATTCTATACAAAAACAATAACACACTAGGTAGAGAAAATATTGAGGACTAAAATTGCAAAATACCCAATTTGGGTTTTACAAAGAAAGAAGGAACAAGCTTACAAATATACATGACAAATCTAACAAATTACAAACATGCGTCAGAGTGAGAGGTTCTGCTGGGAGGATGATGTCGGTCATCCGTGCAAAGTTTGTCAATTAGTGAAGTAAATCACCCACAAATCTGTAGTGAAGAGCTTATGCATACAGGCCTTTGTTTGCTTTGCTTCCCTCTACAAGGTCTTTTGAATGCAAAAGCAACTCAGGGAATGCTAGCCAAGTATGCCCGGGTACACAAACCCTAATTAAAAAAAAAAAAACTCCAAATTTTTTCGCATTCGCAAACACATTCCAACAGTGTTAGAAACACATTTTAATGTGGACCCAAACCTAATTTGCTGGCCAAGCCTATTCCCATCCTTCTCCTAATCAAAATACAGAACTAAACACACACACACCTTGCTTAGCTTCAGAAATAAGACAGGACCTGTGTGTGGCAGTGATACAGACTGGTTACCTGTTTAGACAATCAGTACCATTTCCTGCATACAGATTGCAGGCTGCACCCCCAGAGGTGGTTGGAGTTGTCAAGTATGCTTGGGTGGCCAATTAAAGTTAGGAAAAAGGCTTAAAGCGGAACTACACCCTCCTTTCCTTTACAGCCAAGGAGGTTGCCGTTTCATCATCTATTTGGATTGCAGTTGCTATGGTGCTGCACAAGTGATTAAGTCTAACACCAGCAATTTGAGAGCTGAAATAAGCACACTGGCAACCATGACAGTTGGCATGGCTTTAAAAAGTAACGGTTTTGGAATGGAAGACATTAAATTGGTGGGTAAAGTTCCTCTTGAAGCGTGTTTAAGCACAAAATAGTTCAGAAAAGGCATCCGATAGTTGAAAATACAGGATCTTGGTATATCTTGCTAAATCAGATGTTTTTTTATTGTGTAAAGGTTTTGTATAACACAGCAACAGAAACAAAAACCCTGGAGACGTTTCACACCTGCTTATTTAAATCAGAGCTTTATGTGAGAAATGCTTCCAGGGATTGTGATTCTGCTGCAGTGCTAGGCTGTCATTTTAGACAATAAAAATAGTTTCTTCCAAAAGGATACTCCTGGAGCCTGTGCCCTTACCTAAATCAGTATGTAGCTTTGGCAAGGCTGATGTTCCTGACAAATGGTGCTATGTGGACTGGGATTGATTTCCCTTGCAGTAGCACAGTATGCTTTGGCAACAAATCTATTAGGTAATCTATTTGAAAAATTAATTGTGAATCCAAGTAGTAATAAATAATACAAATCTACTAACATCTTCTTCAGGTTCGTTCATTTCACTTTCATTCCCAGACTGTTCTTCAGTCTCTGCCCCAGCTTCTTCCTCTTCTTCATCATCCTCGTCCTCCAGTGCATCCCCTTCAGTCAAGGAATGTTTTGAATCCTTGTCAGTCACAAGACCTTGTATATCAAAAGATGTCAAATTGTTAGCAGAACTTGAGTAACACTTTTAAGTAAACAAATAAAATGTATTAAAAAAAAGGGATACCAATAACAGAAAAAGTATTTGTAATCATTGTCAGCACACACCTTCCTGCTTCTACAGCATTTATACAGTAAAATAAAATGCCAACAGAGAGTAGGAAAGAACAATGGCTGCTGCAGGGGGCAGAGCAGAGTACACTTTTTTTTTTTTAAATTAATAAAAAAGGGAATGACAATGAATGACCACAAGCAGCAGAAATGCATCAGGATAAAAAATTATGGCATTTCTTAGGGTCTGTTTGGGGAGGCCATTTCAAAGGTTTAATTTTAAGTACACAGTTCTTTCAAAGAACTAATGATGCTCTGATCAAGATCTGGGGGAGGCAAACAAACACTACCCCTCAGATCGATAGAGCCATCATGGAGGTCTTTAAGCAAGCCTGGCATTCAACTTGTGCATTTGGATGCCCCTCTTCTCAAATACCTTTAATTTAAAAAAAGGTATTCCGATCTAAGCGAGGCATAAAAAAAAAAACAAACACACACCAAAAAAAAACAACCACACACCACAAAACAGTGTGTTTGGTTATTTTAGTACCATTCTCTCCAATGTCCATTGCACCTAAACAGTCTGGAGCATGGGAATAGTACAACATGGAACAATGAGACAACAGGCTGCAGTTCTATCCAAAAGCCTTAAAAAAAAAGGAGAATTAGGAGGCAAGTGATTTTCACTCAGCCTCATAATCTGAGCCGACCTGTGACAATGAACCCGTCAGAGGTCGGCTCAGTAGATCGGGAAGTGTGCGAACACAGTCGTTCGCTCACAGCTCCCTGCAGGGATTCCCCCTCCCCGATCCTCCAGCGCTGACTGGCGGAACGGACGGGGCGGGTACAGCTGGCTCTGCCTCCAGATAGGCAGAGCCAGCTGTCATTCACGCAGCTGGGTGGATCCAGACAGCAATGTCGGGATCCGTTTCGGCGTCTCAGTATACTGCGAGCTGTAGCTCGCGGTATACTGAGCTTTGGGTGACGGGAGGACGCTAGTTTGTGTCCTCCCGTTACCCGTAGGAGAACTATGGGGAAAAGCACTGACCCCATAGTTCTCCTTTAAAAACAAAAAAACAAGCAGCATGGGATGACGAAAAACCGGGGGAAGCGATTGATTTTCTGAATTTAGCATAACGTCAGTGCTTTCTGCACAGCATTATTAGTTCAGTGACTTTCCAATGGCTGAAAATGAGTAGTTCATTGACAAGTTGGTTTTTATTTTAGCTAATCTCTTACAAGTGCCCTTGAATCACAGAGGAATTACTAAAATGTTCATGTACTGTACCACCATAAAGTGCCATCTCAAATGGGAGGGAATGTCAATCTTGATGCTCTCTTATAGCATTAAGATGACAGAAATAAACAGACTAAGCTCACCTAGTTTTACAAGAAACTCTCGCTCCAAATCTAGCACTTGCCGCATTGCTTCACTTTGCGAGTTACACAACTTCATCTTTGGTCTCAGCAGCTCCAGTGTGTCACTAATCATATAATCAATGTCTATAGGGAATGGGTAATCTTTAGTCCACACATCCAGACCTTTTTTCCACCAGACATAACGCTAAAAAATAAATAATAAAGTAGTTGAAAATAAGTCTTTTCTCTTCAGTACTGAAACAATATTTAGACAACATATAGATAGATGTGAGACCATGTTGTGGACTTTAAAGTGACCTACAGAGGGGAAAAAAAAAAGATCTGCAATCAAGAACCAAATCAGACACCCAGAGCTGCCTTCACCTACCTGGAGCAGCCTACCAGTGCCTCTATGCTTCATTCAAATGTATTAAGTTGAAGTTTTCCATATAACCTGATAGTGTCAAGATTTGTCTGGTTCCCCCTACACATTCCTACTGGCCCATCACTAGATAGGCTGCCTCACTACATAACAGGAATGTGCATGAGGCAAGATGGGGTGGGTAATGTTCGGTACTACCAGCAGGTGCCGGAGTGTCACTGACTAGCATGACCTGGGATAAGGCTGCATAGACAGGGACAATCAGGCTGCTGGAGTGACAGATCCACTTCACATTCAAATACATGTTCTTCCTTGCTGCAGGCACCACAGATTTCTGATGCCTAGCAAAACAACCCTCATCAGAACAACCCTCATCAGAGCATATCCTGGATTTAGTTTGTTTTTTTACAAGAGGATTGATTTGCCCAGGTCAGCAGATTCAAACATCTCAGTATTGGCATAAATATTTTAAGCTTTCGGTATGTGGGAGGCATCAAGGAACCTACAGTGGGTGTATTTCTGAATACCTCTTCTGCCTTACAAGCGGGAAAGTAATAAGAATTCCCAGAACACTGACAAAAATGAATGTAATGGTGTCCTACAACAACTGCCTGAATGTAAAGTTGAAGTACTGAGCAGAAAGGCTGTGCTTCATTGATGCATTTCAAGACAACATTTTTAAAGCTTAACTTTAGCCTTGCACAGTTGTTCAGCCTCCTCTCCTGGACTGAAATTGTATACTCTGATTTCACTGTACACTGAGCTTCTCACAGTGAACCAGGGAAGGCAAACTAGAAGCAAATAAAACTTAGTGACACTAAACTCAGGAGTTAAACCTTAAAATGCATTCAAGTACCTTATCAACAAAACTGTATGTGATTTGTCTATCACTTGGCTCAAATCATCTTTGAATTCATGCCGACACTGTCCTTCCTTCTGGAGGGTGGCTACTTTTGTTCCCCTTGGTCCCGGTGTGTTGTAAGGTAGCCACCGCTCTAAGCTCGCTCCTGTGATAGACTACAAATTCCAATGCAATACAAATTAGCAAACTAAACATGAGATTGTAGTCCATCAGAGGAGTGAGCTTGGAGCGGTGGCTACTTTACAAGACACACAGGGGCCATAGGGAACAAATGTAGCCACCCTCCAGAAGGAAGGACAGTGTCCGCACCAATTCAGAGATAATTTAAGGATCTACAGCCGAGTGATACACAAATGAAATACATATTTGGTAATAGTAGAAAGGTACTTGAATGCATTTTTAAAGGATTAACTCCAGAATTTAGTGTCACTTTAAAGTGACATTAAACTCATTCTCTCCCCCCCCCCATGATGCCTCTTGATCTGATCATCTTCTTTCCAGTAGTCTCTCCAACGCTGGTGTCAGTCTCTGATCTAGCGCCGACTGCTGTATCTTCTGTGTCCCACAGAGTCTGTGCAGGTGCACGCTGCCTGCATTGACTTGCACTGTGTCTCTCCTCTTCTCCCGGCCAAAGATCTCTACTGCGCATACGCCCGCCCCATGATCCTTCGTGGCCGCCCGAGAATCTTCAGAACTTCGGACGGGATTGCGCAGTGGAGACACAGGTAAGCTTTTTTTAAAAATGTTTTTGCATATATCTACTGCTTGCTAGCAGTTGATATATGCAAAAAAAAACCCTAAAGGTTTAATTGCACTTTAACTCTGACTGGACTTTTAAAACAGGGAAATATTTTCAGATATTATTGCTTTATCAGTCAAAGAAAGTTCAGTTTTCTACATTATTATTCACGTTTTATACAATCATTTGTCCTACCTGAAAATAAACCAGGAAGCAATCAAGTTTGCGTTTGCTAGAGCCTCGGTCAAAGTACTGCCCACAGGTATCAAGAATGGTGCAGACTAATCGAATGCGAAATAAGTGCTCAGGAGGATCGAGAGGACTGGCAGTACCATCGCAGTTCACACCAAACGATATGAAGGAAAAAAGTATGCGGAAAATAACTGCAGATTCAACCATTCTATAGTTATAAAGTTCTCCAAGAAATTTTGCACTGCTTATCCGGCGCTGGTTAAACTTTGGCTGATTTACCTAGTTAGAAAAAAAGTATATTTGAGTCAGCATTACCACATCTAACACTTCTGTTACTGCAAACAGAGATGGACAAAAATGTTATTTTAACTGCAGGAATTCACCAGTTCAATCATCTCAATTGTAAACTTATTTGGTGAATACAAACATGGAAATGAGCCATTAAAAATAAGTTACTTTCTGATCAGCCGAGACCAAACAAATACTTCTGGATAACCTGTTATGGTTTCAACTTAATTAGAAAGCAATTAAAATCCCCTGCATTGGACAGGAACACTGCTTCAGATAAAGTATGTTATTATACCTCCATCCCTAGACGTATATCTTCCAGCACACCATCTACCACATGAATTCCAACATCCTCCTGATAAAGCACCAAGCCTGCCAAGAGGTTAGCCACACAATGGATGCTGTTGTATTTCACATTCCAAATGTTGATCATGCTGCAGATGACATATTCTTTCACCTCAGGATCCTGCCAAGACAACTTCCTCATCTGCCGTAAGACCTAAGAAGTAGATAAATTATAAGAGCGGAGCCAGATTATATAAAAACATTACTCATCAGGTGTGAACAATGAAGGCTAAAAAAACAAAGAAGCATAAAGAGAAACTCATAGCAATGGCATGATTCATACATATTACAATCTGGTAATTCAAAGCAATATAGTAATCATTTCAAAACACGTTGAATAAAATAAATAAATCATTTTTGAGAGGGCTTAACAAAAAAAAACAAAAAACACAAACACCAGACATCCAATACAATTATGCTTGTGTTTTGCCTGATATTTAGAGCCACAATTTAGAAGGTTCAGTTCTCTACATTATTATTCACGTGTGGAAAGCACACACTGAAGGATGAAGGAACATGGCCATGTTAAAGAGGATGCCTTCCCAGCATCCAAAGCTATGGCCCACACATCAGGAAAGCATTGACAGCCATTACCATAGACAATTGAATGCTGTGTCTTTCTTACCAACAGTAACGTGAACATATGAAACAGTAATTAAGAAAAAATTAACAAGGGCTTGCAAAAGGAAAGACCAAAAAAAACTGTTAAAGAGGAACCCATACCTTTAAAATAACCTTTAGAAATGTTTAGTAATGACAATCTATAAAACACATACTTAGACAGTCATACACGTTTACTTCCTGGAACTCTGGCACATGTGACCATGCAGATCATCTCAGGAGAGGAAAATGCCTTTCCAAGATCTCATGAGATTACAGAGCACATTTCTCTGTAATGCTCTGCTGATGTACCTTCCCAGGATGCAATGCTTGGGCACGATTACTTCATTTGTGCCAAAATGAACCAGGAAGTAGATGAACTTTATTTGTAAGTAAATTAAAAATATGTTTGTTTAATGAATGTAATATGATTTTATGTCAGCATGCTGATTTTTAGTGTGATAATCTATCTATCTATCTATCCATCTATCCTTTCAGAATCCTTTTAAAATGAACCTTATGCTGAAAAACAGTATAACGGACATTCATCAAAATATTCATCAGTAGTAGTATGCAAATACACATTCGTATTATCTTTTCCCTACCACTCAGTTATGTTATTTTCTTCCCGCTTCCTATGTCTGAAAACTTCAGTTACAGAAGGAAACAGGGAACCAAGGAGGAATCTCTCTTCATAAAGAACGTGGATGATATTTTAATACTGCAGCTTGAGAAAACAATTCATACAAATTATTAATACGGCATTAGCAACGCTAGTATTTAATTGTATTCATTTGTAATAGGACAGTTTTTGTGCATTACAATGCAAAATATTGCAAAAGTTAAAGAGTGGGAAAATGATTAGAATAAATCTCCATAATAATGAACTTAGACCAAATTAGCAGTGCACAGCTTTCTGAATAATTCTGTTGCTAATCAGCTGCCTACGCATAATGTGAAATAGAAAGCCACCATCATATTACTGAACATTTCTTGGTACAATTAAAGTCAAACAGCACTTGGGGTACTCTGGCAATTACAGGTGAATGCTGGGATCTTGGAAAAGGACCCCCCCCCGAAGAAAAAGAACCACAAATACTAGATCATAAAGTTAATCATGTGAGATGAATACATCAAATCTGATATTTCATCTTTCAGTCTGTATTAAAATCATATCTTGATGATCACAGCCTTACAATTGTCAAAGGTGGGGGTATGTAAACTTCAGCCCTCGAGCTGTTGTGGAAGTTCCATAAGGCTCTACAAGATACTAAAAGGCAACCACAGGCATGACTCCCAGATGCAACTGCATGATATGCTTTGTAGTTTCACCACAGCTAGAAGGCCAACGTTTAGCTATCCCTGATCTAAATGTAACAATACTGCTTACATGAATGTACCGTGTGCTGCTCACATGTTCCTGTGTTAGTCTTCAAACTGATTTCTGTGTCTGTGATTAGCATCCCAGGTTGCGCACTAGACCAGATTATGCAAGTTGGCACTAAATCCTGCCCCCTCCAGGCTGTAGAACAGGGGTGGCCAAACTCCAGCCCTCCAGCTGTGGTGGAACTACAAATCCCATGAGGCATTGCAAGATTCTCACAGACATGACCCCCGGAGAGAGATGCATCATGGGATTTGTAGTTTCACCACAGCTGGGGGGCCGGAGTTTGGCTACCCCTCTTTTAGAACCTCCCCCGAGATAACGGTCAAAGGCCAATGCCCCTGCCGGCCACTGGGGGCTCTAGAATTTGACATCTGAATGGCAAGGTGTGGGGTTTAGTGTAGACTTACACAGAAATGGAGGACCCTTATTCCAAGGGACTGAGCTCTACCCATGGAAAATGAAGACCACCACAAGAACTTATCTGTACTTCCGCAGTATTATTCTCATAGACAATATTTAAGCTATTACAGAATGACTTTATGAAACTGTCCTAAAGATGTGGTAAAGGCTGGCAGTATTACCTGAAAACCTAAAAATATACCAGAACCCTTACTGAAGTGCAGTGCCTTTATTAGGGGGAAAAAAAAAGTCATTTTACAAAAGCTAAAGAAAAGGATACCATGAACAAGGAAATACACCTTTCTCTATACAGGACAGAGAGTTCAACTAACCTTCTCAGTTGTGACCTTGGAGAGGTCCTTATACAGCAACTTTCGAATGTATTCTTGCAGAGGTGGTCGCTTCTTTCTCACAGTCTTTTCAGCAGGGGGTGGGTTGCAATAATAGTAGGCATTTTCCACCATTGTTACATATCTTGCATCCAAGTGCATGGCTTGCTTCTTGCGCATCATTTGTTCCTAAACAGTTTACAGATGCACAGACATGACAAAAGTGAAAACTCAAGAACTAAACTAGAAGAAGTTTACAAAAACAGCTAACATGCTTTCATACATTATTACCACTAAATTCTAAGTGGAAAAAACTCCATACCAATGAAATACAGTGAATGCCAGTAAATGTCTGTAGAGTGTTTGCTATATTTCACAGAAAATTAAAAAGTAACAAGAAGGCACCATGAAGTATGTTTACAGATGTGAAGGTTGTAGTTTCTGAAATGATCTGTATATTTTCACAATGATAGAGTAATGCTTTGCATATTTAGGATTATTTATGACACCTTAGGCCAGTGGTTCTCAACCTTTCTAGGGCCGGGACCCCTTGCTAACAATTGCCAAGTTGTGGTGACCCCCAACTGTAAAATTTAGGAATGCACCAATACCAGTATCTATGCGGGCTCTCAGGTGGCTAGTGGGACTTTCTGGTGGCGTCCAGTGCAGGCTCTGTGGTGATCAAGCACTCACCTCCCCTCACTCCTGCCTGCTCCCCTCTCTCTGATCCTCTCTGGTCGCTGCAGCGCCATCTAGGAGAACTGACACTGGCGCCCTAGGAGGAGGCTGAGGAGCATCTTAAAGGTGCCCATACACCTTACAATTATCTGCAGATTTTCTGTGGTCAGATGGAAAAAGTGCAACAGATTGGCCCAGGTGGAGATTACTCCATCCACACAGTTAAGTGTAGATGGAAGAATCTGTTGCACCTTTTCCATCTGACCACAGAAAATCTGCAGATAATTGTAAGGTGTATGGGCAGCTTTACCTAGAGCAGCACAAGGCATGTGGGGACCCCCTCAACTGTGGGTTGCGACCCACTTTTGGGTCACGACCCACAGGTTGAGAACGACTGCCTTAGGCATTGTCTGCAATAAAAATAAAATATTGATGCTTCCAGGGATAGTGATTTATTCCTAACCGCATGTTATCGTATCACACGCAATAACATTATGAGTCGGCGTTTACATGCAGCAGCTGTCATCCGATCATTAACTTGAATGGGTGACAGCTGCCACTTGTAAACCTGCAGATTAGGGATTCCTGCTGCAGATCATCGCAAGCTCCTTATGCAGGGATTCATAATCACACCGAAAATAGAAGCCAAGTAGAAACCCTAATTCAAGTATAAGCAATTTCAACTACAAGAAACTTTTTTTTCTTATGGTATGTGAATGGGAACATGTAACAAATATAAAATAGGTGTTATTCCAATTTGGCTGTGAAAGTGGAAATACACTTTAAATAATTAAAAAGCTAAAGATTTACATTTGTGACTTTATATACTTCACCTTTCTGACCATTTGGCTTCAGATTTGGAAATTAAAGGTTACCCTAAATCTCATAGTTGATGATTTATCTATTGCCTGATCGCATTGCATACTGTCTCCCAGTGTACATAACACACTAAAGGGCCCTTTAATTTTATTTGGTTAAGCACAATCAGAAAGTGGAAGGCAGTGTATAAAGTCAGGCAGTTTACAAAGCAGCACCTGTAAGCACTAACATTGGGATAGCAGGCTGAAGACTCAGGCTCTGACACAGTACAGTAAAGGGATATAAAATACTAAAATGTAAACCTTTTACAATGAAGCCTGCAGAAATGTCAAATGTAAGATTGACAGGGCTAGTCACAAAAGGGTGACGCGTTTGGAGAAGACAGGATAAGTGACCAATCTAGGACAACATAGCTGAACTGGAAAGTGAGCTGAATTTGATAACTTTTCCAGTTCAGCTATGTTGTCCTAGATTATTCACTTCTCCTGCCTTCTCCAAACTCTTCACCCTTTTGTGAATAGCCCTGCGGAGTTTTCAGATTCTTACATAAGACCAGTTGCAAATGGTTGTTTTTAAAACAGATTCACATGACTGGATTGTGCAGGTTTACGTGACTTTATGGACATACTGCAGCACTAGTACACACCTTCACATTCCACTGTTACTTATATAAGCCCTTAAATGAAATTTTAAAGCAATATGTTCTTTTTTTCCCCCCCCTCTTAAAAGGGACGCTTCCAGAAAAAAAAAAAAAAAAAAAAACACATTTAGAAATGAAAAACAATTTATTAAATGCTGAACCAGGATGTCAAAAGCTTGCGACTCCAACAGACCCAGTGAATGGTAAACTTGTATAGTACTGCTAACTTTGGAATCCCTATCCATTGGCTGGCCACCCCTGAATGAAATCAGAAGTAAAAGACAGAATTCCTTCAGTAACAATCCTGCTTCAACCTTTGTCTGGGTTGCAACACATGAACAAATGCACGTTACGGAAAACCTATTTTTCAGGTCAGTGGAGGGGAAACACTCAGGCTTATCTCTTATCTTCAGCAGTTCTGTTTATAGCACCATTGACCTCAACAAAGGAGACACAGTGATGACACGTTTAACCACTTGCTGACCGCGGTGTTTACACCCCCTTCCTGTCCAGGCCATTTTTCAGTATTCAGCGCTGCGGTACTTTGACATTTATTCCGTCATGCAACGCTGTACTGAAATTTTATACAATTGTTTGGGGACAGATAGAGCTTTCTTTCGGTGGTATTTAATCACCACTGGGGGTTTTATTTTTTACTATATAAACAAAAATTACAGAAAATTAAAAAAAACCCAGTTTTCTCTTTATTATGTTAGGAAACATTTATCGAAACATTTATCAAATCACCCCAATTTTTTGTTAAAATATAAAAGACGGAGTGACGTTGGGTAAATAGACACCAAACATGTCAAGCCTTAAAATTGGGCACGCCCGCGAAATTGCCAAAAAACTACCACACCCAAAATTGGCCATAGGGGACGCTTTAAAAGATTTTACCGCTCATCAGTTTAGTTGTGACAGTGATTGATGGCCCTTGAATTATTTTTTTCTCACTCCGACATTCGCAATTATATGTAACAAGTGCGGCGTAATGGGCGCAATCGTCGTTTTTTGCGTGTAGGCACATCTAAGCATTTTTGCGCATCTATGTGGGGGTGGGGGACTTTACAAAAATGTTGTGGGTTTTTTGTGTGTGTAGATTTTTTATTTCTTTTGTAACCAATTTTTTTTTTTTTTTTTACACTTAACTTTATTGTTATCACAGAGGGGGATAAGAATCCCCCTCTGTGATATCACATTACAGTGACAGGTCCCCTTTATTGAGACATCAGGGATCTCCAAGACCCCCAATGTCACCTTGGGACCCCCAGAGAATCTGATGAAGCACAGATCTGCTTCACCATCTTCTCTCCGGTTTCTGTATGTAAACATCACTTCCTGCATTTAGAGACCAGGGAGTAGAGCGAAGGGAGATTGTGTACTAATCTCCCTCCATTCTCAGTGCACGGAGCCACATTGCCAGTCCCAGATCGGACGCCCGGGATCGCAGGGACGGCGAGTAGAGGTAAGGAGGGGGGGATGGCACACAGAGAGATGTATCATACAAGCAATTGGGCGTTTTTACAGACGCCGGACCGCTTGTATGTAAACAGCGATCGCTGGCTGTTTCAAATTCTGGTGGTTTCCCGCTCGTGAGCACCAGGGGGCGTGCTCGAGCACGAAGGACGTTTAAAGACAGCCACTTGCATCCTTGAAGACTCCTGACCGGCCGTTTCTGAACGTTCGGTGGACGGGAGGTGGTTAAATATCACATCTACCTGTCTGAAGACTGACAAGACTGTACTTGAGCAACCAAAGGATACTAAACACATTCTTTAAGACAGAATTTTATAAATATTGTGTGTCATGTAGATACAGGTGATAACTAGAATAAGCAATCCAGCTGAGGAAAAGAACTTGAGGGATGAGGGTATAAAATAGACACCAGAATACCTCACCTTTATAAAAAGGGTAGCGGGACAAATGTTAGGGTGAACATATTCTAATGAGGGAGCTGAGCTTTTAAAGAACAACTCTGAGCATAATTATTATTAACTCTTGCAGTGGGGCTATTCCATACTGCAAGGGTTAAGTGCTCTTTGTCTAGGGAAAAAAAAAAAAAGTTATACTCACCTGAACTTCGCAATCAGCTGGCTGTTAGACCAGTCCCTGCCGCCTGCTCCCTCCTCTGCTCCAGCGATGGAATGTCCGTTGGAGTCCTCACATCTTATACACGTGGGGGGGGGCTGAAGGGACTGGTCTAACAGCCAGCCAACTGCGAGGAGTGTATAACTTTTATTTTAGGCCCTAGAAGAAAAGCAGCACTTACGCATGCAGTGATGGAGAAGCCCCGCTGCAAGGGTTAAGAAAAATTCTGCTTGGATTTCTTCTTTAAGGAGCTAGCATTCTTGATCTGCATTGGGGTCCTCCAATTGTGCTACAAGCAGCATTGTAATAAAAAGCATGTGGTCTGATAGCATTACTATTTTACAAAGAGGATGCCGTTATGCTTTTCTTTTTGTATCTTGCATCATCACCAATAAGCCAGCGATGGAGCTACATATGAATTGGCATTCCAGCTAATAACCAGTCCATATGCCTGAATGTACGTACTGTTTTGTACCCGTCATAAACAGGTCTTACTACTACTTACAATGTACGGGTTCAGGTTAATATCCCCATATTGCATATTCATGAAATACATTGTAGATTTGTGCACTAGCTCTTTACAAAACACACTGAAAGTCAAATAGGATATCCACGCTTACCAACAGAACACTGGTACGCAAGTGCGAGTCTGGAGACCTGAAGAGGAACCGTCCACAGGTTTCAAGCAGGGTGCAGGCCATCTCAATGTGGTGATGTGAAAAGTCTGACAACAGCATCTGCAGACATTAAATGTATACAACAGAGAAAATTGTAAAACACTAACGTTCACTTTTATTTCAAAAATAATTTCTACCAAAGACCATGCACAATGTAGACTTCATAAAAAAATGTCTCAACAGGTCCTGCAAAAGAAGAGAGCCATTACGCTTTTTGCTCGTGCATCCAAACGCTGCTCTTTTACAGTGGGATCTTCCTGTAAAGTCCATTGAGAACCAGACACTACTGGGAGTTGCGTGCCTTGCTCGTCTTTGTCCCCCGGTCAGTGGGAGGAATCACTGAGCACAGCAGGACACACAGGAGATCGACACCCCCAGAAGTGTCAGATTCTCAATAGAATTCCGAGAAAGATTTTTTTATGAAACAGATCAACATTTGGCGGCAAAAAGGAAAGGCAAGGAAATAGATTTCTCCTCTAGTTTTGCACTTTGAGCTGGGCATTCTTTTCCCCACAGGGTTGCTTTAAGGTGCCCATACACTGCACGATTCTCGTACGAGAATCGCGGGAAATCCCACGATCGTACGAGAATCGCGCAGTGTATGGAAGGCGTGCGCACGTAGTTTCCTTGTCACATGCCACACAGTTTTCTACAAGTAAAAGTGAAGGAGGTACTAACAACAGGTGCGGCCCTATTAAACAAGGGAGCACTATTAGCAGAGGGATGGGCTGTATTCCAACTTTTGTTTGTGCACAATCAGGTTGTGATAGATAGATATATATATATATATATACACGTGTGTGTATATGCGTGTGTGTGTGTGATAGATTATATATATATATATATAATCTAATACACACACACACACACACACACACACACACATATATATCTATACACACACATATAATTTTGAAACAGTGGTATATTTAAACAGACCAAAAATAATAGAACTTGTGTGTGGGGTAATCCTTCTTTGCGTGTAACAGCTCATGTCAGAAAAAGAAATTCCAGTTCCCAACATGCAACTAAATGCTTCCCCATTTTGAAAGCTGTACTTTAAAATCAATCTAATATAGTAGGACACACCATTTTCAGACACCAAGCACTTGACTTAGTATTAGATGATGCTGCAGTATCAGAAGCTGTAACATTGCAATCAAAGTCAGTTTATAAAAAAAAAAATATCCAACCTAAAATCCTACTTATAAAGAAAATTAGACTAGAGTTCTTTTTTAACTAGGAAATCCAGACAGTAAGACATTGTAAAAACAGGTTAATGCAATGGATTTGTTAAACTGAATACATTCAATAAAATTAAGTAACATGACTGTCACGCAAGCATAATTCACAGCAATGAATACAATACAAAACAGCATAAACTACAAAAGAATACAAACCTTTAAACAATGCAGAGTGTCTGTTTTACTGAACATTTTAAACTTGGTAAGCTCTCCAATGAATCTCACGGTTTTGTTCTTCGTTTCAATATTTATCTGATCCTTTTTCCTTACCTAAGGAAACATGCAACAAATTTCATAAGTTTCAGACACATGTAACAACTAATATGAATGTACAGATCTTTATTATAGGTGCACCAAAATAGAATTTTCAGACAAAAACCAAGAAAAAAAAAAAAAATTGTCAGGCCGAAACGGATTTTTTTCTTCTAACCTTAAAGGAGAACTATGGGGTTAGGGCTTTTCCCCATAGTTCTCCTTAGGGTAACGGGAGGACACAAACTAGCGTCCTCTTGTCACCCTGAGCTGAGTATAACGTGAGCTACAGCTCAAGGTATACCGAGACGCCGCAGTATACCGCGAGCTACAGCTCAAGGTATACTGAGATGCCGCAGCTGAAGCGGATCCCGACAATTATGTCAGGATCCGCCCAGCTGCGTGAGTGACAGCTGGCTCTGCCTATCTAGAGGCAGAGCCAGCTGTACCCGCCCCCTCCCCCATCCGGTCCGCCAGTCTGGCGCTGGAGGATCGGACTGGGCAGAATCCAGTCCCTCCCCTGTCACGGCTCGCTCGAGAAGTGACCGAACGCCGGTATGTGTTCGCTCACCTCCCGATCTACTGAGCCGACCTGTGACAGTTTCATTGTCACAGGTCGGCTAGAACTATGAGGATGAGTGAAAAGCACTCACCTCATAGTTCTCCTTTAAGATGTTTCCTCTTTTTTTTTTTTTTTACTTTACTGTCGGGAACTCTGGGGAAATATTAGGGGTCTAAACATACCACTGATATTTCCCTTTTGAAATAGATAAAGGAGATAGAGAACAGAGTCCTCAATCTCTTTTTCTGCAGCCCCTGTTATAAGTGAACAGGAAGCCTCTATACCGAGTGTCCCTGTTCCTTTATAAATTGTGGAAATAGCATGAGGGGAATTTATCAAAACTGGAGCAGACAAAATCTGGACCAGTTGTGCATGGCAACCAATCAGCTTCTATCTTTCATTTCCAAATCTTAACTGAACAAACTGAAGAACCTAATTTGGTGCCATGGGCAACTGGTCCAGATTTTGTCTGCTCAAGCTTTGATAAATTCCCCTCAATGAGTTACTATGTCCACAATCATGAATGAACAGGAAGTGATGTCAAGCACTTCCTGTTCATTCATAATTGCGGCCACAGTAAACAGACTATCTCCTCAATAAATTAACAAACCACACAGCAATCAGCTGTTCGTGCTTGTAACTGCTTTCTATCCTGACTCACTGTCACAGTGAGCGGAGTGAGGAGAAGAACACTATCAGCGGCGATGTCACAGGAGGCCGAGCTCTCCTCCCACACCGCCCTGCTCACCCTCCTGCGACATCGCCGCTGACAGCGATCTTGCCCCCCACTTCGCTCGGCCTCTTCATGGTTTCTCTCCTCCCGCTGGATGCTGCTTCATCAGCTGCGTCAGAGTGGACAGAGCAGCGCCCAGCGAGGCGGAGAGAAACCATGGATGCATCACATTTTCGGCCAGAAAAATTGTACTTTCGGCACTTTGCCAAAGTACTATTTTACGAACGATACGTGTCGGTGCAGCCCAAATTTTTATCTTTGCAAATCAGCTGCCGCCTTCCAGTGATAGCCACAGTGCTTCTTCTACCGGCTCCTTTACATCCTGAGGGCAGAACTATTCCACTGCTGTGACTGCTACACTCCCGGAGATCAGCACAGAGGAAGAGTATGTGGGGATCCCCTGCTATCAGCAACTATTTGACATGGCTCCAGTATACTTTACTAAGTGTGAGTGCATTTTATTTATTCATTTAATGTTTTTATTGACCTACACGATCAGGGGCTGGTAGTTCTCTGGGTTCTTCTGGTTTTACTTGTCAGACCAGCGTCTCCCCAGAACAGGTTTGTCACAGTCTTAGAGAAGACAGTGTTGCTGCCGGCCCTAAATACAAGTTTCCTAGTGTATAGCTACTTTTTTGTCACTGTGAGTGCAACTTAAGTCATTTTACACTTTCCCCTGGTTTTATATAATTTATTGTGCTAGGCTGTGACGCTTTCTTTTCTTAACAAGACAGAACAGCAGGGAAGCTTGCTTTGCAGCCAATCAGTAAGATTAAATGGGCAGTGCTACTGCTCTGATGACTTATTTAAATTCTGTGAACAGGCTTCTTTCAGCATAAAATGAATATGTTGATATCCAACTGAGATGGAAGCATTATTATTTAAAATTCCTGACCATAATCAAATAAAAAAGGCAGTATTAAGTAGTAAGATTTGTACCCCAAATATAATTTTTTTGACCAACATACTTGAGAACTATGAGGCGGGCGATTTCCACTCATCCACATAGTTAGAGCCGACCTGTGACAAAGAAGCTGTCAGAGGTCGGCTCGATCGATCGGGAAGTGAGCAGAAACATGCTGCTGATCCACTCACTTCTTGATTGTCTCCCTGCAGTAAGCAATGACTGTCAGTCACCTCTCCATGCAGGGATTCCCCCTCCCCTCTCTGATCCCCCCAGCGCTGAGTGGAGGAACGGACGGGGAGGGGGCGGGCACAGCTGGCTTGGCCTCTAGATAGGCAGAGCCAGCTGTCACTCACGCAGCTGGGTGGATCAAGACAGTATTGTCGGGATCGGTCCTGGCTAGGGTGCTCTCAGTATATCATGGGCAATGTATACCCCGCGATATACTGAGCTTTGGGTCATGGGAGGAGGTTAGTATATGTCCTCCCGTGACCCTAAAGAGAACTATGGGGAAAAACACTTACCCCATAATTCTCTTTCAAGGACACATGGATAATTTTTAAAAAGGACTGAAAATCCTTTTGAAGTTTTTTAAACTTTTCCCATAATATTAAAGCTGGAACTTTGTGTATTTCATGTACATAAAAAATACTAATCAAATCAAACATTTGTTGTAACAAAAAAAAAACAAAAAAAAATGAAAAAAAAAAAAAAAGCAGACGCTCACTAAAGTGCGCGTAACGCATGCCCACTGGTGTACATTGCATACATGTGCTGCGGTGCACTGTAGAACAACCATAACATTGAAAGGTGAAGTCCAAGGGAGGGCTGACTGCCTGTGTGAATTATATCCACTATAACATGCACACTGTGACATGCATGAACCCTTAAAGAGCAACAGGCAAGGAACAAGTTTTAGGGAAAGAAAAGCATAGATTAGGGTGAGCCTCTACTGCTTATGCAAGACAATCCCTGCGCCCATCAACAAACCTGTCTAGTTTGTTGCTGCACCTAGGAGGCCAGAAGGTCCACATGCAGCATCCCCCACCTCTGACACAGGACCAGGAACACCTTTGGGTATAAGGACCAATCGCCCCAGTCCAGATGCCGCTGGTAGAGAAAGTCTGCCTGCCAATAGTCCATGCCTGGGATGTAAACAGAAGAAGGGTGGAACATGATGTTGTGCCCAGAACAGGACCCAGTGGTACGTCTTTTGCTGGGGTAAGTCTGCCGCTTCCACTACCTCCCTGATGGTTGATGTATGCCACTTCTGTGGCAATGTGGATCCTGATCGAGAGATCCTCCAGTATGATGGTCCAATGCAGCGAGACAGACAAATCGCCTGAAGCTCAAGGATGTTGATTAAGAGGAGAGTTTTCAATGACGACCAAGTGCCCAGGACTCACCAGCCCAACAGGTTGGCATCTGTCATAAGGATCTTCCATTAGACTGGAAGAAAGGACTTCCCTGATTCTTCCAGAGCTTTATTTTTTTAAGCCACCATGTTAGGGATAATCTGGACCACAGCACCAAAAAAAAATATGTCTGTCCAGGGACTGGATTGACTTGTGCCAGGACAACAGAATATTGCATTCCAGGAGTGAAACTGGGCTAATGGGACTACCTCAAAGTAGGTTACCATTAGACCCAGCCGCTCATGCAAAAGTAGAGTCAAGTGATTCCTGAACTGGAGAGCATGAGTCTGGCATCGGAGAGTTTGAAGTTTCTCCTGAGAGAGAAATACTCTAGGCTTGAACTGTGCCTAGGACTAGACCCAGATACTCCAAATAAGAATTCTGTTTAAGCTACTATTTGCAAAGGTTTAGGATCCATCTGAATTGTTGAAATGTCGAGAAAGCCAAGGCCACATTGCCATCAAAGCGTGTGCCAACTGTTCCTTAAAAAAGGAGGTCCAAGTACCCACAATGGGGATGTCATGGGAGTGCAGCATGGCTAGTACTAGGGCCAGCACCTTGAACACTAAAATAGTAGGAGAATGAACCGAAAGTACAGGGGATGCACAGCATGGCGCAGGAAATGCTGGTTCACTGGAAAGATGAGAACATGCAGAAACGGGTCCTTGATGTCCACAGAAGAAAGAAGGTTATAGCGGGTGGTGGTCGCACGTCTGGAGGTGACCATGATTAATGTTGCCGGGCAGCCAAAATGGACCAATGATGGGATTTCCACAAGGCTCTTGGCAAACAATGTAGAATAGCGGGGAGATGCTTCCTCGACAGTGGCGGTAAACGGCATGGAGAGTGCGCATGCAGCACTCCACCCAGCAGATGTCAGTGCTTAGTCGCTCAGTTTGAACCCCTTCTGCAGTAGAAACCAAGGAAAAGCGAGGCAGGTCAGCCCGATTAGCCTACTCGCAGAGTGAGTTCAAGGGCAGGGCAAGTACTGAGGCAATCGCCAACGGCTCTGGACCTGGAAAGAGCTCCATGGCCAACTTGTTACCAGAATGGAGTCTAGAAAGCACCTAATGTGGAAACCATTGTCATAAGGCCGCATCCAGCCCCAGTCCATCCTCCTAGGACAATAGCCAAAAACTGAGGCATTCTGGTAATAAGAGGGGGTAATCTTGGGCTGGCCTTGTTTGCAAGTGTCCAATCCTCCTGTAGGCAGCAGTGTGAGCCAAATGAGTAAGTTCCTGCTTCTCTCAATGGAAAACAAAAAGAGGTTATCAATGTTCTTCTATTTTATTGCTGGGACAGTGCGGGAATGATGCATTGTCACTGCTGATTCACAAGACTGTAGCTTGTCATTAAACACCTGGGCACACCTAGTCCTGATCACCGCTTTCTGGATTAACAGCACTTCCTCTGTTGCTTCCACTATTAACTGCAGATTTTGGAAGGGGGAGCATGTGACACAAATAGAGAATTTGGCTCAGTCAAGAGAGGTAAAATAAGTTTGTTCACTTAATGAAATTTGTGCATCACATAGTAAATGGATTTGGTACTGGTTTAGACTGTTATACAGTAGCCTTTCATTGCACTTTGAGAGAAGTTAAGTGAGGCAAAGGCTAATACAAAGCTCCCTCTGCTGGCTAATTTGAAACGCTCTATATTAACACAATTACGGGGAAAAAATGGAAGCACAGGAAAATAAAAAAACGGAGAAAGTTAATATAAAATATTGATGCCAAATTTACGCTCACTAAAATACCAGTTTTTTTTCCATTTGCTGCCAGCCTGTAAACATAAAAAAGGTTAACCGAAAAACAAACCCCACAGATCAAATGGGTTTTCCCATTTTCAATACATTTAGTAAAACGCAATGTTTGAATGTATGTGGAATAACCTGAAGCTACAGCATAGTGAATAGTGACATTAATGCCCCCCCTCCTCACTATCAGCTCATGTCTGACTAACCTCCCACAAATCCCCAACTGTATAGAACACATACTGTAATCATAAACTGAAAAGAAAAAAAAAACAAAAACAACTTACATGGAATCTAAAGTCCCCTTTTAACATAGAACAAAGGTCTTCTGCCACATCCGACATACATGGGTGCAATGTAGCAACCAATCGGGCATAAAATGGCAACAGATCCAATCTAATGAAATAGAAGAGGGGTGTATCAAACATTTTAATCATCAAGTATATCAAAAGTACAAAACATGAAATGTTTCCGCAAACTTTTCAGCCACCCCAGTCAAAATTAAACTTGATATAGGAAGTGTAAACTTAAAATTTAGAAAGCAGATTGTCAGAACAATAACAATTTAAGATGTAAACATTTTCCCCATCCAGTGTAAGTTTGTGCAAAATATGCAGCTCCATAGGGTTTCTTTTCTGGCCCTTATACTTTAGATCTCATAGTTTGTATTTCATACACCTCTGCCAGACAGCACAGCCAGGAGGGTGTTATTTTAGACAATGTATAGGACATGCTAAACTTACATATTTTTTACTTAATATTACCTTTGTCTAGGAACAATAAAAAGCGCTCGAACCAGTTTCCTTCGGTTTGCTTTGGTGTTCATATTCATGCAGAAATCCATTGCAGCCTGAAATTGAACAAGAAACCACATCATGGTTTGTTGAACTCGTGAAGCCTTTCTGGGCAATCATGTTTCTCTAAAAAGCATGAAGGCTAGCCAAAATATGTGAATACAATCTTTTAATTTTTTCTTCAAAAGTAGAACCAAAATAACACAAAGTAATATGAAAACCCTAAAATCTAAATTCTGGTTGAGGGAGGTAACAGCATCAAAGAAAAACCAATCAATGTAGAAAACAAAGTAGATACATTAATTACTGGGTAATAACATAGCTTATGCTTAGAGCAGGAGTAGGCAAACTCAGCACTCCAGCTGTGGTGAAACTACCAATCCCATCATATCTTTGCCTCAGAGTTATGCCTGTGGCAGTCAGAATCTTGCAATGCCAATGCTTCATGCGACTTTTAGTTCCACAACAGTGGG